TTAGTTTAATTAATTAAAATTGTAATTTAAAAATATTTAATTATATTTAAATCAAAAATTGCAATTTTTCCTTTAAATAATTAATTAAAAATTATAATTTTTAAAAATTATTCAATTATTTAAAAACAGTATATTTTAAAATAAAAAAATTATCCTAAAATCATAATTTATAGAAGAAGGCCTAGAAATGGCTTAATTTTCAGGGAAATTTTTATTACAATTTATTACCAAAATTTGTTTTACTGTAAAAAAAAAGTGTATTCCTATTATTAAATGTATTCCTGTAAAATGTATTCCTATTATTAAATGTATTTCTGTGAAAATCTATTCCTATTATTAAATGTATTCCTGTAAAATGTATTCCTATTATTAAATGTATTTCTGTGAAATGTATTCCTATTTAATATCTAAATACTATCGAATTCGAAAATTTTCATTATCGAATGTTTATCATATTTACAAATTTTTGTTACTTTCAATTTATCACGAAGATTTTTTTTTTTTGTTTTGAAATTCAATAAAATCTAAATCGTTTTAATATGTAAAATTTTACAATTTGTTTAAAATTGTTTATGAAATGGGAAAAGAATAGAAAGAGATTTAATTAAACTTGTGGAATGTTAAATGAAGAATGTTAAATTTAATTTCGTCAAATATCATTGCTTCAGTTTCAAGATGTCATTAATAAGATTTATTTCATTGGGATGAATAAAACTTGTTTAATATCTAATGGCAATATATTCACTACTGATAACACATTATCACACTCATTTATTAAATTAAATTTCAAAATCAAAATTTGTTTTTAAACATATCTTTCGTCATACTGTTTTAATATATTGAAAAGAACTAAATTAAACTAAATTAATTAATTTATATACTAAAATAATTTAGATTTGGTTGAATTGATTTCAATTTTTCAAAATTAAGCGTTTGTTAAAGTTAAAGGCAACATTGATTCAATAAAATCTAAATTATTCAGAGGTTTAAAATATTTGATTTGATTTAATTTAATTCACTTCAATATATTAAAATGAGTACAACAAAAGGTAATGCTTATTTAGTACTAGTTTTAATTACTACAAAAAAAATGCTTTAAGCTTTAATTAATTGTATTTACAGTCATCATTACTGTAATAAATGTAAAGGATTTACATTACAATAATAAATGAAAAAAATTATGGTGATAAAATTTATCAGTTCATATTACTATCTTGGAATGCTTACCGATCAGATTTCAAAATATTTATTACATTGCAATATCAGAATGTTACTCCATTCCGATATTAAAAAGAAAAATAGAAATACTATTCAAAATATAAATCATTTGCATAATTAATTAATCAATAAATGACCAAAACGTTATCAAATAATCCTTTCAGAGTTTCAGTTTGTTTTTTTTCCTTTTTTTTTTTTTTAGTTCTTAATGCTAAAACATAAAATGAATAGTAAAACAATGATATTACATTTTACATAATATGATATATTTATCATTCATTCATTTAATTTTTGATCTTAAAAAAAAAAAAAAAACGGAAAGAAATTTGATTTATGGACTATAAAATGAAAATGAAAAAAAAAAAAGGATGATCAAAAATGAATTTATACATTCCTTTTCACTTTCAATCTTTTCCTATATGAATGAAAGAACAAGTAAGAAATGTTAAAATAAAGATTGAAATTAATTTCATTTTTTTTTTTTTGTGTCAGATAAGTTTCCTATCTTTTTCGTTTTTTTTTTTCTTTCATTCAACTATGTTTTATA